ATTTCAACACAGACAAGAATGGACAGGTTAACAGGGTTCCATTGCGTGATAAGGCCATCATTTGATCATAGCATTGTGTCATATGGTCACTTTAACCAAAATCCTACTTGGGTTTGGGGAAGGATTCATGATGATGGAACAGTATCTGATGTTCAAACAATGTAAGTTGGTTTGGAGTTGTATTAGAACATGAACAACATTACAAAAGCACAGAGAATAAATAAATCACAACTGCCAACATTGTAACCACTTCCAAGTTACAGGGAAAGGCAGAGACGAACTGGATTTTCATTTCCTGGAAGATGTGAGGGATGAAATACAGGCAGAGAAATATAATATTGCCGGGTTTAGTGTATTACAGAATGCTCCAAAACTAATTATGAATATTTGCTGCCTGAAGCCTAATGCCTAAAGACTAACTCACATTTTTATTACAGATAAATGTATTATTTAGAATCTATATAGTTACTGAAACACCCGGTACTTTAATGTGCAGTTTAATATGTAAAAGATCATGTGCTGCCCCTGACATTTATTTCTTACTTTCTTATCGAAGAAAGGGATTATTTTTAGACATTGCATTTTCACAAATAAACAAAGTGCAATTATCTCTTTACTTCCTGAAATAATATCAGAGAAAATTTCCAGGCAAAAATAATGAGAACATACAGGATGCAAAGGAATTAATCTGATTATTAAGATTTGCTTAACTGTTTCAAAAGCTGGTCTTGATTACCCACAATGTATTAAGGATAGATTTGAGTCTCTAAACAAACCAGGGATAAGTGAAAAATCTGTGGCTCTGATCTGTGAAAGGAAGAGCTTTATCCTTTTGTGCAGTATAATTTCAACGCTAGTACTCAAAGAAAGACGAAAGCTCAGCATTCCTTTTTTTAAAAAAAATTCTCTGTTTACTAACATAAAAAATAGTCACTCATAAAATGGTGTCACTGAGGTTTGGGGATCTTGATTTTACCATCAAAAGTGCTTTGTGTATGTAACACACTTTTCTCTTGAGTTTGAAAAAATGGCTAAAGAAATGTCACTATTACAGAACTGTAACAGTGTGCTTGTTTCATGATAATCTTGGGTCGAATCTATCAAACATCAGTCTATAAAGATTCCTTTATCTCCTTTTAAAATACCCCGGTGACCAATGACAGAGAGTACTAGAGAAACTTTAAATACTGAGATTACAGTGAAGGAAAGCAAGCTTCCTTGTAGTTACAGACCAAGCAGAGAATGAGTACCTTACCATTTACCCACGTTAAATGATAAATATGTATTATTTCTAACACTATCTGAGTAACAGACATCTAGGAGGTGCTTTAGGGGCGGGGCGTTGGCTCTAGGGCTCTAGGGTTACGGTCCAGGTCTCTTGTGAGAGTGTGTTTAAGTGGCACTGTAGCTCAAGTGGTAGAACGCTCACCTTGAGCTGAAGAGCTGAGGGACAGCGCCCAAGCCCAGAGTTCAAGCCCCATGACCGACCAAAAAAAATGCATAAAAGAGAGTGTGTTTAAGCTGAAAGTCAGATGTGAGAGCTGTCTAATATCAGGCTTACTCATCTTTCTTAACTGATATGACATGTCAATTTGAGAAAACCCATGTATTTCAGCTGGCCATGGCCCACTTTTGTTTAGCTATGCTTCTAAACTCCTTTCTCCCACTGTGGTATGTGGACACCCTTTTGTCTAATACCTGCCACTCACTTTTTTTTGCCCCCCCCCAAGTTTTTCCTAAATTGCTCTCTGTACAATCTTGGATTTTCCTACTTCTTTCTTCAGTCTTTCAGTGCCTTCTGCCTTTGGTGTTTGGTTCTTATAGCCTGCTTTCCCCCAAACAGTTGGCTTCTTCCCCCAAACAGTTGGCTTCTTCCAAGGTAAGTGACCTGAGAGAAAAGAGACAGCTCACATCAATTTGTAACAATCGTAGAAGTGGAAAGCATTTCCTCTACTTCTTTCTACCATCCACTCAGATAAACCATAGAACAATGTGGGAGGGGAAAAATCCAGTCTGTGAGTAGGCATCTAGGATGAAGTTGGGCGCCATCTTGGAAGGTGGCTACTAAAGGTTTAAAGCAGATATACAACCTAGATTCTCCCATGTGTTAGGATTCTGTTATGACAAAATAAGAGCATCAATTTAAAGGAGGAATAGTTTATTTTGGTTCACAGTGGCAGAGGTTTTGGTCCATAGTCTTTGGCTGCACCATTGTGGGCCTGTGGGGAGGTAGAGCGTCATGGGGGAAGAACATAGCAGAACAAAGATGCTCACCTTGTGGTGGCCAGAGAGCAAAAGGGAGGGTAGGAAAAAAATGTATTCCTCAAGGGCTTGCCTCCAGTGGCCCATTTTGTCCCACTTCCCCCACACCATAGCTTCTACCACCTCCCAATGGTATGTAAGTTAAGCTATGAATCCATCAATGGATTCTATGATGATATCAGAACCTTCATAATCCAAATCACCTCCTAGATTCTTCCATCTCTGCACACTGCTATATTGGGACCAAGACTTCACTACATGTGTGTTTTGATATGAAATAACTACACTTTAAGATACCTTTAAAAAACTGGGAGAGTGCAAGGGAAGGGGTGGCATTGTCCAAAAAGAAATGTACTCCTTACCTGATTTATAGAATTCTAATCCTTTTATAATCACATTTATACTAAGAATAAAAACTCAATAAAAAAGATAGCCCAGAATTTGGGTTACAGAATGTTTCCTTTAGTAGTCATTGTCTATTATTGAGAAGAAACTCCAGAAAACCTACCAGTGACCATTCAGACAGACCCCCAGGGGGAAAAAAGAAAATAGCTGAAATCTCTCTGCCGACATTGCATAACTTTCCTGTAACCTGAGTATGCTAAGTGCACTAACTGAGCAATAACAATTGAACCATTACTCACACTTTTTATGTCTATAAAGGTCCAAATATAATTTCAAAAGTATATACGCGCTACAGCTTAGCCTTCAGAAAGGTATAATATATAATAAAGTACAACACAGCAATAGGCTGCCACAAAATGTTAGATGATTACCAATCCTATGCATTTAGGAATGAAAATTTAAAACCTTGCCATGAAAAAGGTGGAAAACAAGTGGCTTTTCAGCTTTCTTATTTCCCAGCTTGAATAATTTAATTGGATTTTTATAATATCACAGGGAATCAATGCTTACAGCTTTTCTATTTTAGGTGAAAGATAAGTCATTGGACTACTCCTGGTAGTAAATTGCCAGGGAGAGAGACATAACCATTAAAAATTACCATACAAACTTCTCAGCTTCCTGTAAAAGTCTTTTTAAAGGATATTATCTGAATCAGCTGCTTGAAACTTAGAAGCCACAGGGTACCTGAGCTAGGCAAGCAAATACAGAGTAGTAGAATATAATAATTCCACTACCCTGATAGGCAAAAGTAAGTAAGAAGCCAATTTTAAATTTTAAAATGATCAAATAACCTTCTCCTTGGGTCAACACCTAGAAAGGCTGTTTAAGCAGTAGAGTGCAGAAGAGTGCAGAAGAAAGTTGTGTTCCTTTTCTCTGCCACTAATCTACCTAGGCTTCTACCTGTCTTGGCCTTCGCCAGGTATGATCTGCTCCTCTAGGTTCTAACTTTCAAGACAGGGAGAAAAATCATTGCAAGTCAAAAGATGGTGATGTCAATGTGCAGAGGAAAATGAGCCTGAATGGTATTGGCAAACTGGCTTTATTTAAATAGTGGTTCTCCAACATTTGTTGCGGATTAGAATCAGGTTCTTTGGAATGTGATTCATACCATTTTAAAAGCCCTTCAGCACTGATCAAGAAGCCCTTCAGCACTGATCAAGATGCATGGTATTACACATATGGTATTATGCTGCATTGATACCACAATTATTTAAAGATAATAGAAAATTACATTTAATTAAGAAAAAACCATCAGACGATTTATATATATCTATATGTATATAGATATTCAACTTATACCTTAAATTGAGAATCTTTGTCTTAGGACAGTTGGGTCTCCTTTTAACACTGTGAGAAGCACCTGGAAAGCAGGTTGAGATTATTGTTACATTCTTCTTCTGAGTTTCTGATTCACTGTGTGTAGGTGGAAGCTTAACTTTGTGTGTGTATGTGTGTGTGTTTGCTGGGGCTTGAATTCAGGGCCTGGGCCATGTCCCTTAGCTTTTTTGCTCACAGCTGGCACTCTACCTACCACTGGAGTCACACCTGCCCTTCCTGCTTTTTGCTGCTTAATTGGAGAAAAAAGAGGCTCAGGTCTTTCCTGCCCATGCTGACTTTGAACCAGAATCCTCAGATCTCAGTCTCCTGAATAGCCTGGATTACAAGCAAGAGCCCCTGTCCTCCAGCTTGATCATGTACATTTTTAAATCATGTATTAATTGTACAAAGGTGTTTCAGTGTGGTATTTCCATACATGCATGTAATGTGGCTTCTCTCTCCACCCCTCCCCCACAGTTCACGCGTTTCCCCTCTCATTTGCATGTTTAATAGGATCCTTAGGAAAAGCTGTGTTGGCTGCTGCCCACTCGTTAGAAGAGTGTGACCCTCGTTATATTTTTATATAACAATAAGGAGTGCAGCTGCGAGTGGGGTTCAGGAGCAAGAATGAAAATTGGCAAAGGCAGAACCCACCCGTCGACTTCCTTCTTCCATCTTTCAAAGCTGCTGTTGAGAGGGGCCTCTGCATTGTCTCTCCCAGTGTGCTTAGACTTCCAACTCACAGGTGAAGGGAGCAGAAGCCCTTCCCCTGCCCTGGAAAGGGCTACACGTGTGTTAGGCCCTTCCATTTCAGCAGGCTTGCTTCTCAGGCCAGCCACCCTCTCTTCCATCCCGACCATGCCCACAGTTAACCCCATCCAATTCACCGGCCTCGCTCTTCCCGCCCTCCCTCTGGCGTCCAGGTGGTTGCTAGGGCAACACTGGCGCCGTTCAAAAAGCGCTCCGCCAGCCGCTCACTGCACACTGCGCAGGCGCGAAGGGCTGGAGCCGCTGTCATGGCCTACTTCAATCCAGTGGTAAGAGAGACCCCAGTCCCCGGCACAGGGCGCAACTGGGACTCTGAGCTCACAAACATTTGAACCCCACACATCCATTTACCCTTCTGTGGCACATAACAGACTTTAAGAAACCTTTTTGTCACCCCTCTGTTGGGCAAGCTCATGAGGGCCGGACATTGGGCCTAGCTGGAGGAACACACGTCCTCCCTACCCAGAGTCAGGGTGTGGGTTAAGGTTTGGAGAGTGTCTTAGAGGTGGAAATCACCTCAACCCTGGTGATTTCCCGTGTGTGTAGAAAATTCCCAAGCTCATTTGTACTCTGATTCTATTGTCTTGAGACAGGGTCACACAAAGTAGCCTCAGATACAGTGTAGCTCCAGGCTGGCCTTGAACTTGTAATCTTCTTGCCTCAGCCTCTTCAAAGCTGGGATTACAGGGGTGGCCCATCACAGCCAGCCCCAGTTCTAATGATTGATTTTAGTATGAGCATTGTTGATTCAAACTATATTGTTTATAACCTGAAATAATGGGTAACATGATCTTGTTACCTTAGCAAGTAGTGTTAGTGTTGCCCTAACCATTCCTTCTCTTTCCCATCATCCTTTAACACTTAATGCGTAAGTGTACAACTCACAAACTTTGCCCCCCTCAACCACACAGTGCGGATGTTCAAACTAACTAAAAGGCACTTGTGAAAACTTCCTCAGGCTTAAAAATCTGAATTAAAGAATGACCACCAGACTCATATTTTCAGGACAATGTACTTGTCTAGAAAATTGCTTTAATTTTTTTCATATGTATATATGAAAAAATATAATGATAAATAATAAAGCATAAATAATAAATAAATAAATAAATAAATAATAAAGCATAAATGATTCCATGTTTTAGAGACATGCTATTTTAATGTATCTATTTTCTGATCATGTATTTTATGAAATGTAAAATACTCATACCTGCCTGGAAGCTTACATAATATATCAATTTACATGATTGATTGTGAACTCCAAGGAAATTGTCTTCTTTTAGAGAAGCTAAGATGGACTTTGGGACTATGTATAGTTTTTAATAAAGATAAGAGATAGGGAAAGCAATAGAATGTCTCAACTGTAGTCCTACCAAAAAAAGTACATTTGATACCTATTTTGCTTTTGAAAAATTGTGTTCTAATGGATTCTTTTTGACTGCTGCCAGTATACACTCTTGAGGGTGGATCTTAAAGATGTTTTTTTATCCCTGGGAGTTTTTTTTCCCTCTGGCTCTAAGTGTGATCACACTAGTTGGGATTAACACTGAAGCATCAATTTAGAATGCCTTTATCAGGATAAACTGTTTTAGAAGAAGCAACTCATCTAGGAGCACTTAGTCTTAATGGATATGCTTGTGAGTAACATATTATTTAAATACTGCTGATTGGCCTATTCAGAGGCTTACTCTGGATCTTTAAAAGGATTAGTTTAAAATTTAGCTGTTTTTTTGGAGTGAGAGTATTTTATGGGTATGAGAATTTTCATTTTGGCCTGATTAAGCAATTTGAAGTGAGAGCAACTCCACTAAATTCCTACTTAGCTGTTATTTTTTTATTTTTATTTTTTTTACCAGGGGGCCTGTCACTCCATCAGTATTGTCACACACAACATTTGGGATTGAGTGAAGCCCATTTTACATAGACTTACAAGACCGAATGACTTCATATGCTTCTTGTTTTGTCGGTATAAGCAATGTTTAGCCTCATAGAAATCTACTGAATTTTATGTCCTGCTATGTTTTTACCAGGAAGTATTTTAGGATTTTATCTTTGTCTCTATGATTGATATACACCTTGTGGAAGGGCTAAGTTTATGCCCTTGATTTCTGTTCTAGGAAACCCATTTTGATGGAGCTTTCCTTGACAGTGGTTCACAACTTTTGACCACACGTATTTTCCAAATAGGACAGGCTTTGGGTATCATAGTCTTAAGATTTGTAATTTATTTACTTTTGGAAATTAAGATAGGGCACCCTGGTAGTTCATGATTAGTGGCTACTTTGAGTATAAGGTAAATTGAAAGTAGAAGGTTATTCAAGGTTTCTTAAGTTAATCTCCCTTTTAAAAGGGAGTAGGAAGAGAAAATTCTGATACAAGCTAAGTAACATAAACATAGCCATGAACCTTTTTATAGGATTATTCCATATTTTGTTGTAGTTACAGATTTGACCCTGGAAATAGGAAGGGATTGTACCTGAGACCAGGGATTTGAAGCTAACACAGTTTACAGATAGCTAATGCTATCCTGTGAACAGGATGTACTTAATGAAAATTCTTACTGTGTTTTGTTTTAAATGATAATATTAGAAAGTATACATGTCCTTTTTCTTTTTCTGTGCCAGTCTTGGGGTTTGACCTCAGGGTCTGGGCACAGTCCCTGAGCTTTTTTTGCTCAAGGTAGCACTCTACTACTTTAGGCACAGCTCTGCTCTGCCTTGGCTGGCTATGAACTGCAATCTTTAGATCTTAGCCTCTTGAGTAGTAGGCACTGGACTATCTTTTTTCTTTGTGTCAGTTGTGGGGCTTGAACTCTGGGCCTGGGCACTGTCCCTCAGATCTTCAGCTCAAGGCTAGCATTCTACCACTTGAGCCACGGTGCCACTTCCGGCTTTTTCTGCTTATGTGGTGCTGAGGAATCGAACACAGGAGCTCATGCATGCAAGGCAAGCACTCTACCACTGAGCCACCTTTCCATCCCTCGACTATCTTTTAAGGTGAAATACCTTCAAATTTGAGAATTAAAAAAAATTAACGATTGTTTGTCTAAAGCCCAAACTCTACAGATCTGTAATTGAAGATGTAATTGAAGGAGTGCGGGAACTATTTGCCGAAGAAGGCATCGAAGAACAAGTTTTAAAAGACTTGAAGCAGGTTTGTAGACAAATCTAGTTTCCCTGTCTTTTCAGTCTAGGAAAACAGATAAACTGTGGTTCTAATCTTTTCAATTATATAAGTATATTTTTTGTGCTATCAGTTGGGAATTTAGTTTTTTTTTTTGCCAGCCATGGGGCCTGAGCTCTGGGCCTGGGTGCTGTCCTTCAGCTCCTCAGCTCAAGCCTAGCATTCTACCACTTGAGCCACAGCGCCACTTCTGGCTTTTTCTGCTTATGTGGTGCTGAGGAATTGAACCCAGGGCCTCATGCATGCAAGGCAAGCACTCTACCACGGAGCCACCTTCCCAGCCCTAGGTTTTTTTTTTTTTTTGTCATTTGTGGTGCTTGAACTCTGGGCCTGCATGCTGTCCCAGCTCAAGGCTAGTGCTCTACCACTTGAGCCACAGCACCACTTCCATTTTTCTGGTGATTATTTGGAGATAAGAGTCTCACGGACTTTCCTGCCTGGGCTGGCTTTGAACCGTGATCCTCAGATCTCAGCCTCCCGAGTAGCTAGGATAACAGGTGTGAGCCACCAGTACCTGGCAGGGGGAATTTAGTTTAAAAGACTTAAAAACCATAGGAATATCTCAGTAATTTTTTTGCTTTTTTAGTGGTACTGGGAGTTGAACTCTGAAGGCTTTGTGCTTGCTGTGCAGGTACTTTACCACTTGAGCCATGCCTCTAGAAATTTTTGCTCTGGTTGTTTTTGAATATTTTCTCTTTGTCTGGACCGGCCTAGACTTGAATTTTTCTATTTATGTTTCCTGCTGTAGCTGGGGTGACAGGTGCATTGTTAACACATCCAGTTTTTTGTCTCCTTGGAATGGGATCTCAAGAACTTACTTGCCTGTGCTGGTTTGGCAACATAGTCCTCTCAATCTCAGCTTTCCACACAGCTGGCATGGCAGGTGCATGCTACCATGCCTGGGCTATTGGTTGAGATGGGATCTTACAAACTTTTTCTGGGGCTGGCCTGGAACCACCACCATCTTTCCTGTATTCATTGCTTAAGTAGCTAGGATTACAGATGTGATTCACTGGTGTCTGGCAGTGGTGTTTGTTTTTGTTTTGTTTTTTTAACTTGTTATGTTTTGTTTTCAGCTCTGGGAAACCAAAGTTTTGCAATCTAAAGCAACAGAAGACTTCTTCAGAAATAACATCCATTCACCTTTGTTCACTCTTCAAATGCCACACAACTTTCACCAAACGTTGCAACCCACAGGTTGGCTAAAACAAATATATATGAGTTTCATCTACATCCTCAGAACCAATTCTTCTTTGGTAGTGTTTTTTAATCAGGACTATGTTCTTAAAGTGAGTGGGCTTGAACCTCACGAAAATTTCCATGAAATGAACACACTGTGAGTCACCATGTCTTATAATTATTGATAAACCCCCCTCAGGTTATTTAAGCTTACTCAAAAATAATATTAGATTCCACAAAGGTGGCAAAGCCTTATTTTAGAGAAATGAATATTATAGGTTCTTTTGGAGATTTGGAGTGGATTTGGTTGGGAAGTAAGTGAGCCACTGTGGTTAAGTATCAGAGGGAAGGGGAAAGGTGAGTGCCTGTGTACTTTTTTTTATTGTGAGAATACCTTACAGAGAGGTTACAATTACATGGGTAGGTAATGAGTACATTTCTTATCAAGCATTGTTGCCTCCTCCTTTGTTTCCCCTTCCCATCCCTTCCCATCTCATCCCCTTCCCCCCTCCCACGCCAAAGTTGTAAAGTTCATTTTTTACATAACGACTTGTACATCTCATTGTTGCAATGGGTCCACCTGTATCCCTATTTAAACAATTTGTTTTTTCCCTTCCTCTCCACAAATTATTCTAACATCAAATACAGTGAAAACAGGTTATACCATGGGGGGGACAGTACCTGTGTATTCACTCTCTTATTCCCCGTGTATATTCTAAACCTGTTGTATTGGCAAAATGTAGAGTGAGAGAGAATATGGAGATTCTTCAAGCTACCATGCTGTTTTAGTTAATTAAAATAGTGACAAGATCTTGACCAAATGCATATTTTCTTTTCTCTTAGACTTATTCAATATAGACCTGATTGTGTGTGTGTGTGTGTGTGTGTGTGCATGCGTGCGTGCGTGCAAGTGCAGGTGGGTGTATGCGTCAGTACTAGTGCTTGAACTCAAGACCTGGACACAATCCCTTAGCTTTTTCTGCTCCAGATTGGGGCTCTGCCACTTTAACTACAGCTCCCCTTCCAGCTTTTTGATGGCTATTTGGAGATAAAAGTCTCTCAGACTTTCCTGCCCTTGTTTTGAATTGGCAATCCTCAAATCTCCTAAGTAGCTAGGATTATAGGTGTGAGCCAGTGGCATCTGGCAACTTCTGCTTTTAAGGGAAATATTTGTTCATATTGTATATGCAATTTAAACTAGAAAAGACTAGCTATCAGAAGATAAACAGATATTTTGTCTTTCTAGCTTTTATTCCTCTTTTCTGATTGTTAGAATCTTTATACTAAGAGTAATGTCTTCAAGGAGGGAGGACAGATTTTGGATTAGATTGTTGTTAATAAGTAGTTTGTTCATTGTATGCTAGTGAAAATTTACATGAAAATTACATAGGCTTAGGTGAAGAGGAGATAGCATGGGAGTTGCTCCTCTATTACAAGATGGAAGAATTTAAGTTTGGCAGAAATGATAGCTTCTAAAAATGATATAAATTAACAATAGGTAATTGTTATGCACAAGTTTTATCTAATACTTGCTTTTAAAATAAAATTTTGTTTTCAAGAATTAGTCATGGCAGTTTTAATTGTTCACTTGTCACATTGAAGCATTTTTCATTACTTATTGCTCATTGGCTATGCTTTCATTTGTATTAGTTTTATTTTTGTGTCATTCCTGGAGCTTGAACTCAAGGCCTGGGCACTGTCCCTAAACCTTTGTGTTTAAGGCTAGCATTCTACCACTTTGAGCCACAGTGACATTTCTCACTTTTTTTTTTTTGGTAGTTAATTAGAGATAAGAGTCTCACAGACTTTCTGCTCTGGCTGGCTTTGAACCATGATCCTCAGATCTCAACCTCTTGAGATCGCACCCTCTCGGGGCCTGGTTCATTTGTATTTTACCAGGATACCCCATTTATACTCATCTATGGAACATTCTTTGGGACTTTAAATTTTTTCCATTAAAAAATAGATAACTCTGAAGGTTTGTTTTACATGGAGTTAACAAGAGAGGATGTGGTGGGTAGAGAGGAGAAATAAATAACTTGACTGTCTTCTTTTTTTGTGTGTGTGTGGCAATATTGGGGTTCAAACTCCAGGTGTCATACTTGCTAGGCAGGTGCTCTACCACTGAGCCCCTCCTCTGACCCTTTTTTGGCACTAGTTATTTTTGAGAGGAGGTCTCATTTCCTGCCCAGGTGCATGTTCAGACTATCATGTCTGCTTTAGGCTTCCTACCATATAGGAGATAACAGGCGCATGCCTTTACAGCTTAGTTTCTTCCATTGTACTGAAATCTCATACACTTTTCTATTCAGGGCTGGCCTGGAACAAGGGTCATCTGATCTTAGTGTTTTATGTAACTAGGATGACAGGTGTTTGTCACCATCGATGCCCAGCTGTGGACTGAAGAGTCTTGTGGACTTTTCTGCTTGGGCTATTCTTGAACCTTTACCTTCAGACTTGTAAAGCTGATCCTGTTCTCAGCTTCTCAAATACTTAAGATGACAAGTCTGAGCCACGCAGGCGGCTGCCTGTTTAATTGTCTTTTATGAAAAGCTATGTTAACACTTCTCAGATTCTTTGTCATTCAGTATTGCAATACTTCATTTTGCCCGCAAGATGGTAATATTACCAGTGATTTAAATCACAGAATAGTCTGGCAACTAATGTATGGCATTGGTTTCACTCAACACCTCATTTTTATTCTATGTTTTAGAAGTTAGAATAATAGAAATAATTACATTTAAAATAAGACAGTCTTTCCCCTTATTCTCTTCTACTTGATTTGTAATGAGCCGGTTTAAGAGGAGTTACTATATCCTTTAAAAGTGCATTGTAGACCTCGTTCTAATCTGTCTTCATTTCTGGGTACTCTACAATGGGATTCTTGAAGTAAATAGCCTCATAAAATTGAAGCACTTCTTAATTATCTTCTCATAGTATGTTTAAAAGTGCCTGATTAAAATAAACTTCTACAATCTTTTTATTTCTTTTGATAAAGAGTCCAAATTAAATCTGCAATTGAATAAGTCATTTGCCTTTGTCTGTTCCACTTTTAAAACTTGTTTTCTCCATTGTGGGTTTTTTTGGGGCTGTATTATTCATGTGTTTAGTAATATCCTCCCATCATCTGTCCTCTACATTTTTTTATTCTCAAGTCTTCATCATACTCTTGAGGAAGCTTTATAAAATGTGGATTATAAGTCTCTTAACAGAGTAGAAATTAAAACAAAAAAATCTTACAAGATGTTTATTAATTTAAAAATCAAATTATATGTTAATATACAGCATTTGGGGAAGTAACTATTTTCCAGAACAAAATGTATTTGCGAGAAGAGTGGAACTGCTTTCTTTTTCTTATAATCTAGTTGATGTCTGGTTTAATACAAACAATTGGATTCTCACAGCTTTTTTTCTTTTGCAATTCTGGGAATCCAACTCGGGGCCTCGAGCTTGCTACACTAGTGTTATACCACTTGAGCCATGCCCCTAGCCATTTTCTACTCTGTTTATTTCAGACAGAATCTCATCCTTTTGCCTGGACTGGCTTCAATGAGCCTAAGGCTGGGTTCCTCCCCCCCTGCCCCCAGTAGCCTCATACCTATTTTTAATTTAAAGTCCACTATATATTTAAGGTAGACAGAATGATGTTTTGATAGACATATAAAGATTTCTTTAGTCAAGCAAATCAGCTTATCTCATGGAGTTAACCATTCCAATATACTCTTAGCAAAAAGTATAGCATAATATCAAGTACAGTCCTCATGTAGTACATTTATTTGACTTCTAGATTTACTCATCCTACATAGCTGCTACTTTGTGTCCTTTGGCCCATATCATCCCAGTTTCTGCTATTTGACATACAAGTGAGATCATGCAACATTTTTTCTTTCTGACCGGCACATTTCACTTAGCATAAAGTCCTTCAGATTTATTCCTGTTGTGGCATGGCAAAGGGTGGACTGAATAATAATCTAATAATGATATCTATCTATCTATCTATCTATCTATCTATCTATCTATCTATCTATCTATCTATCTATCTATCTATCTATCTATCTATCTATCACGTTTCTCCCCCGCCTCTCTCTCTCTCTCTCTCTGTCTCTGTCACGTTTCTCCCCGCCTCTCTTTATCTATCTATCTATCTATCTATCTATCTATCTATCTATCTATCTATCTATCTATCTATCTATCTATCTATCATCTACCTACCTACCTACCTACCTACCTACCTTGTTTCTCCCTGCCTCTCTCACCTGTCTTTTCTCTTGGCGGTGTTGGCAGTGGTGGTGGGGATGGTATGAGATTTAAATAAAGGCAGGCACTCTACCACTGAGCCATATCTCCATCCATGCTTCTAGCTCATTAGGATGGAATTTCACTTCCCACCCGGATGCGTCCCTCAGTTGCTGTGATTCCCAGAGTGTCTGGATAACAAGCACATACTCCCCTGTCCAGCTGCCCTCTGTGGAGATGGATTCTCATGGGCTTTTATTGCCTTGGTGGCCTGAAATCATGAGTGTTTTTGACACCTTTTGAAGCTTTTGAAATCTTGAGAGTTTTTCTGCCTGGGATGGTCCCAGTCTATGATCCTTCCATTCTCAGTCCCCCAAATAGCCACCAGCATCCAGCTACACTTTCACGATTCATTCTATGTGTTTGTTCCTATGTATTGGCTACTGTAAATAATGCTTCAGTGAACATGGAAATGTGGATACCTGTTTGTGGTAGGGATTTAATATCCTATGAGTTACATACACATCATAAAGATTGTTGGTCATATGGTAGTTTTTTTAATTTTTAAAATTTTAAAATGTCTAGGATCTTCTATACTGCTTTCCACAATAGCTGCATGGTTCTCTTCTACATTTTCATCCACAGTTTATAAAGATTGTCTTTTCCCTCTGTACTCAGCAGCCACATGTCATTGCTTGCCTCTTTGATTTATCATTTTTCCAGGTAAATGAATTACATTGTAGTTTCCATTACATTAGTGATATCAAGCTCTTTTGTATATCCCTATTGACCATCTTTATGTCTTCTTGGAAAAATGTCTATCCAGATCTTTTTGCTCACGTTTTAAATGGGTTGTTTCTCTGTTCCTGAACTGAACTGTATAAATTCTTTGTATGTTTTAGATACTAACCTTTTAGCAGATGTATGATTTGCAAGTAACTTCTCCAGTCTATAGGCTGACTTTTAATTTCGTTGATTGTTTCCTTTGCTATGCAGAAAGCTTTTTAGTTTGATGTAGTCTTATGACAGTTACTTTTATTTGTCAACTTGATTGGATGGAGAGAAACTTAAGAGATGGATAGAACACAGCTCTGGGGATGTCCACATTTCCAGAGAGGGTTAACTAAGGGAGGAAGACTCACCTTGAATGTGGGGGTACTGTCAAAGAAGGGGAAGAAAGAGGATGCTCCCTAGCTAGCACTAGCATGTGTGTACTCCTCTTTGCTTCCTGTCTGTGATGAAGTAAGCACCTGTGGTCCATCACCGCCTGTCTGCCATGATGCTCAGTCATGCCTCAGACTTAAAGTAATAGGGCTTAGTGACCATGGATTAAAACTGTGACCCCCAAGTCTATTAAGTTGTGTTCTTCTTAGGTATTTCAAAGAGCAACCAAAAGTTTGACTAACACAAGTCCTATTTATTTTTGTTTTGTAGCCTGAGTTTTGATATGCTCCCCTCCTTCCCCCTCAAAAAAAAAATCCATGCTGAAGCTAATCTCCAAGTAGGTTTTTCCCCTTTGTTCTTCTAGAAGTTTGCAGTGTCAGATCTAGTATTCTTTAGGTATTTTATTCCTCTTGAGAGTAGAGTGCATGAATGCACGTGTGTGTGTGTGTGTGTGTGTGGTACATAAGGATTCAATTTTATTTTACAGGAAGATATCCAGTTGTCTTAGTACCATTTTTTTTTAAAAAAGAAACTATCTTTTCTGTTAAAAATTAGTTTTCCATGTGTTTTGAGTTCATTTCTGGTCTCTATTCTATTCCACTAGTTTATGTATTTTGATTTCAGTAGCAACTGTTTTGATTCCTATAGCTTTGTAATATTGTTTATATTTTGAAATACTCTTGCTATGTTATCCAAGGTGGCCTTAAAACTCCTGGACTCAAGTGATCTTCCTACTTCAGCAGCCTAAGTAGAGGGGACTACAAGCATTCAGATCACTGCGAATTGTAACATAATTTTCTTTTCATTTTTTCGTATGACAGTTGTGGGCTTGATCTCAGGGCCTGGACACCATCTCAGGTGCTCTAGTCTAGTGCTCTACTATTTGAACCACTTCCAGCTTTCTGGTGTTTAATTGGAGATAAGACTCTCGTGGACTTTTCTGTCTGGGCTGTCTTTGAACTGCAGTCCTCAGATCTCAGTCTCCTGAGTAGCTAGAATTACAGCATGAGCCACTAGCAACCATCTTTAATACAATTTTAAATCAGGAAATATGCCTCCAACTTTGTTTTCATTCTGAATTGCTTTGGCTACCTAATTTTTTTTGCTGTTTTATATTAGTTTTACAAATTTTCTATTTTGGTGAAGAATACAATCAGAATGTTGATAGAGATTGTGTTGTATCTGTGTATATCTTTGGGTAGAATAGACATCTTAATATTAGTTATTTCAATAAAAAAACCTGGAATATCTTTTTGTTTCTTTTTTGTCTTCTTAAATTTGTTTCATTGTTGTCTAGATTTCTGACCAGAGATTCAAAACTTTTACCTCCTTGAATTTGAGAGAATCTTTAGATGTTATCAGAAATGAGATCATTTCCTTGATTTCTTTTTCAGATAGGATGTTATATTGTATACTGAGCTTCAGGTGCTGATTTTGAATCCTACAGCTTTAGTAAACCTTTTTACTAGTTTAAACCTTATGTGTATGTAGTCTTTGGGGGGCATTCTATGCTTTGGATCATGTCATTGGCAAATACAGATAATCTAACTTTTTCTTCTTGCCAGTCCTGGCGCTTGAACTCAGGAATTTGAACTCAGGACTACTCATTGCTGATACTCTACTATTTGAACTATTCCTCTACTTCCTGGCTTTTTTCTCCCTGGTGTTTTGGAGATAAGAGTCTCAGAGATTTGTCTTATTAGGTTGGCTTTGAACCTTAATTTCAGGCTCCCAAGTACCTAGGATTGTAGGTGGAGCCACCAACACTTGGCACATTACCAAATTTTAAAATTGCATTTGCAGGATTGAGTTTTTCCTATTTTATAAAATTTGTTTTTGAATTTAAGATACCTAGCATATATACAGGAAATTAAAGTTTTAATGCTTTTAGTTTGAATGAAAACACCTATTTAGTTAAAATTTATTTAGTTTAAAACCAAGTTGGTATTAAAAAGTGTTTCAGGCATTGTTAGTGATATATACAGCTTGTGAATATGTATAAGTGAAACTTATAACTTGTGGATTTAGTATCAAAATTAAGAACGGCATGGAATTTTTGATTATACAACTTGTTTAGTTCAGTGCTTTTATTCTAGTATCTATAAAGAAACTTTAAAAGTTCTCTTATAGCTCTGTTTGATTTCTTTAAATATAGAGAGTTATCTGTTAGGATTTATTACGAAGTGTTTTAAAGAAGGTTGTTGCTATTTTTCTTCAGGAAATTTCATTTAATTGCTTCAGAGCCGTGTTAACGGATTTTTGTTTTCTCTCAGGCTGTGGCTTAGCTGTAGCCACTTAAACTTAGCTCACTTCAGCTAATTGAGACTAATACCATTGTGTTCTTGCCACTCCAGCTTTGTTTTCTTCTAATTTAGCTTTTATAAAAGAATGACTGTTAATAAACAAAGCCATAGATGAACAGAGGATAAAAATAATTTTGTGCTTCATTAACCATCAATCTTCAGCCTCCCTTCCCTTGTCTGACTGTGGGAAGAATGGATAGTTTAAAAAAAAAATACTTGCAGCCAGGCATTGGTGGCTCGTGACTGTAATCCTAGCTACTCAGGAAACTGAAATCCAAGGTTCAAAGCCAGCCTAGGCAGGATAGATCTCGAGACTCTTATCTCCAAGTAACCACCAAAAAAGCTGGAAGGTGGAGCTTGTGAATCAAGTGGTAAAACACCATCCTGAAGCAAAAAAAAAAAAAAAAGCCAAGCTCTAGATGGCAAGGCCCTGAGTTTAAGCACTAGCATTGACACATACAGACCTCCACTCCCCCTCCCCACCCCAAAAAATTTGCTCCTCTGATCTGTTTGTTGTGTGTGAGAAGCCAATTTAGCATCAGAAACAGGTCTTTGGAGCAATTCTCCTTAGTTCTTTCTGTGAGAAATAGGCCATGGTAAACATTGTCCTAACATAAATGTGCCTCATAGACACACTAAAAAAGTACTAAAAAAGTTCTTGTTTCATTAAAGGCAAACAAAATTCTGTCATGTTCAGGTGGATACAGTGAACTTGACAATTTAAGGTTTATGGTTATATTGACCACTGAGATCCTTCTACTGTACTTATTATTTGGGCTTTATATGTGTGTGTGTGTGTGGTATGCTGGTATTGGAGCTTGAAATCAGGGGCTTGCTTTGTAGCCTGTTTTGTTTTTTTGCTCAAGTTTAGCATTGCACCACTTGAGCCACATCTCTACATCTGGCTTTTTGCTGCTTAATCGGAGATAAGAGTCTCACAGATTTTTCTGCCCCAGCTAGTTTTGAACAATCATCCTCAGATCTCATCTTTCTGAATAGCTAGTATTACAAGCATGGGCCACCAGTGCCAGGCATTTCTACTTATTTTTAAATGATGTATTAAAATTTTAACCTTGGTTAGCCTTGTAGATATAAATACAGGTATAGTTAACAATTATCAGAAAAAAGGAAAGATAATATGTGATTGAAACGTTAATTCAGGTTGAGTCAAATTCTCCTGAGAATTTGCTTTCCTTAGTAGTCAAAGGTGTTTCATTGCAAGTATTTTTATTCATCTGTTCCTAAAACCATACAGCTGGGCTTGCTTAGTTGGCCAAAGAACTATAAATAACTTTTTGTGAAATGAATTGCAATTTATTTTGAACCTATAAAATTTAGAATGGATTTATGTTGGGTTATATGTCATTGATCAACAAAATGGTCTTTTAGAAATGTGCTACTTTAACGAATATTGCTTTTTCTCCCCCATGGAATAATATAGAGATTTCATACTACATTGACTGACAGGACAGTCTACATGTTGTGTTATGGATCTAAAAGCACAGTGTGCCTGACTATAATGAGATATTCTCTTTTGATAAAGTAATTTAGTTGTGAAGTTTTTATTTAAAGTTGTGAGGGGAAAAAATACAACTACTCTTCCTCTCTTGAAATCAATAAATTCACCATGGTCGAACTTGTTAGTGGTAGAAAATATTTTCGGTTTTAAGAAAATCTATAAGTAGCAATTTTATTAAGTTGATGAAGTTGAATTGATACATAATAATTGTTTTGTTTTTACCACAGCATCATTAGTTATTCCTGCTGGTAGAACCCTTCCAAGTTTTGTCCCAGCAGAACTGGTATGTAGTTTATTTAAAGTACATTTAAGAACCTGTGTTCCACTTTTAGTGCCTGGTGGCAGAATGCTGGGCATAGATATAATTCAGGATCCTCTAGTTGAAAAGATGTGCAGGCATAGGGGACAGGAATAGTTTCAATATCATAATAAAAACTCAGGCAATTTGGAACCAACACTTCCATATAATTTGTTCTCTTTTAGAGTACTTGTTAGACTCATATCTACAAGGGTAGAACATTTCTGAAGTTCCAATATGTGGGGTTTTAATAAAACAGCATAATTTTAGATCCTACGTGGCCCTTAAATTGGTAACTTTGATATGATAATTTTTCTTTCTTTCTTTCTTTTTCTCTCCGGCATTGAACGATATTATTGTTTTTAAGTGGAATACTTAGGCCATGTTCTACTTTTGTGAAAGTAGTTTGTTTTCCCCTCCAGGAGTCAGAGGCAGGAACTAAAACTGTGATTTCTTCACAGAAAAATCTAGTCATTTTTCAGGTGGGGAAGAGTAGTACTTTTTCTCTTTTACTTTTTTCTTACAGTGTTGATGGTAAATAATCCATCGACCATTTCTTTTCCACTTTCTTCCCATGGGCTGCTTTTCTAGGATCAAAGATTTAGTGGGCCAGTTGTTTTCAGTTCTTCGTTAAGAACAAATAAAACCTCTCCTCTCATCAGGATTTTTGAAATAAAATGGCACTGCTTTTTGAATGAAGACCAGTGAAATATCTCTGCCTTTGAGATTCATAGAAATATTTCTTTTCTTAATTAAGAGTGAAAACAAGCTGGGCACTGGTGGTACATGCCTGTAATCCTAGCTACTCAGGAGGTTGAGTTCTAAGGATCATGGTTCAAAGGCATGCTGGGAAGGAAATTCTCTGAGACTCTTATTTCCAATTAACCACCAAAAAGTCAGAAGTAGAGCTGTGGCTAGTGGTAGAACACTAGCTGTGAGCTAACAAGCTTAGGGACAGTGCCCCAGAACTGGTATACAACCAAGTGAAAACAAAAATTTAGAGTGAAATGTAAAAGAACCTGAGGGCTTATTACCCATCCCCCCATCTGTTTGATGTATATTTATTAGAGTTTGTTGATGAATGTTATTGTCAATGAAAAGATTAGAATTGCATTTTTTCCTACTGTTTCAGTAATCTATTTCTTGTCTTTCCCTTATATTTTGGGTACACCACAGTTTATCCAAATTTTGTTGGTGCAGAAAATACTTTCTAATCTTTTGTAATACAGCATAACACATTCATGTGATACTTGGGTAAATTCCTAGAAAGTAGAATTTCTGGGTCAGAGGTCATACATGCTTTCAATATATATATATATATATATATATATATATAATACACACACACACACACACACATATGTAATATATAGCACAAAATTGCCCCTCCAAAGAATTGTTCTGAAATGCACTCATATTTAGTAGTCTGAGAAAACCAATTTTTATAACATTCTTGTCAACATTGAGTGATACTTATACTTGTGTTTTTACTTAAAACATTGGATTTAGCTATTCCAAAAGAAAAACTATATACTACATAAATTAATCACTATCATTTCTACTTTAAAATATCATTAATGATCAGCTTTCTCTAGAAGACACATAAAAACAACGTGTTTCTTTTACTTCACACTTTGAGAATCAGAGGTCCAGATGAAGTTTTACCCAAGTTTTTTTTTTTTTGGGGTCCGGTTGTGGGGCCTGAACTCTGGGCCTGTCCCTCAGCTTTTCAGCTCAAGACTAGCATTCTACCACTTGAGCCACAGCGCCACTTCCGGCTTTTTTTCTGTTTGCTTATGTGGTGCTGAGGAATTGAACTCAGGGCCCCAGGCTTGCAAGGCAAGCGCTCTAACACTGAGCCACCTTCCCAGCCCCTTTACCCAAGTTTTTGAAGCTACTGTTTATTCACTAAGACTTACTGGCTTCATAAAAATTAAAATGTTTTTAACTTTCACAGTATAAAATTTTATTTTGTGCATAGAAATGGTTATGGTCCTTTACAAAATATCTGAAAATATTTTATGAATGTTTCTGTACTTTTCTCATACAAGAAACAAACATTAAGACAATTTTATAAAAAAAGGTTGCTAGTAACTGCATAATAGAATTCCTCTTGATCTTTATCCGAATTACTTGAATCAAATATTAAAAAGCAGCTTTCTTCAAAGAACTCAGCCCTGATATAAAATGCATTGTCCAGCTGTTGTCCAATTGTCTGGAATCAAGATTTTGACCCCCTCTGATATCATGGAGAAAAAGTAAGGTCTTTTTATGAGTCCCTAATATAATTTCCTGTGTCTAGGGTACCTCGGGCTCCAGTGCCAACTTTGCTTTTCCTGGCTATCCTATTCATGTACCAGCAGGTGTGACGCTGCAGACTCCATCTGGTGAGCTGTTGTAAGAATATTGTGATGTTAGTATTAGTACTAGCTTCTAGACCTGAAGTTACATGATTTTTAAAATAAATTGTTTTAGGAGCTTTTAATAATCCCTACTTTAAAATAGCAATGAAATGGTGGCTTTGTTATAGTATAGAAGCTGTCTACCACAGGAGACCCTGCCCTAGGCCTGTCCTATAATCACTTCCCCCTTCTTTTTCCTAATATGTATTAGACATTTGGTATGTATTTCCTCTAATTCAAGCCAGTTTCTATGTTTTAGCAAACACAAAATAAAAGGACTTGTCTGTTCTTGGTAGTGCTTGCTAATCAAGAAAAGACAAAGGCTATTTCAACCAACCTTTACCTTCTTTCTTAATCAAGACTGAATGGCTGTGGGATGCCAGTGGTACACGGTTCTAATCATAGTTACTCAGGAGGCTGAGATCTGAGGACCAAAGTTTAAATCCAGCCTGAATAGGAAAGTCTTGTCTTTAATTAATTAGTAAAAAGCAGAAGTAGAGGTCTGGTTTGAGTGGTAGATCACCAGTCTTGGATCTAAAAAGCCTTATTGAGAGGCAATGCTCAGGCCCCAAGTTCAAGCTCCAGTACTGGCATAAAAACAGACAAACAAAGACTACATGGTCTAATAGAAAGGATATCCAAAAGTTTGGAGGTTAATTGACCTTTGTTTTTTAGTACTGTCTCTTTATTTGAAGCATTTTCAGACCTGTTTAGATTGTTGTAAAGTTGAAGTAAAGCACCTAACTCAGTACTCAGAAATATTTTTTTTCTTCCTTTTCAGTATTATTTTAAAGGAAAGATGGAGGGGATTTGATAACTGTGGAAATTATTAAATTCTTTTTGATAACCTTATCTTGAAACATATATTTTAAATATATAAAACAAATTTACATGATTATGTTTGTTAAAATTTGCATTGTGGGTTGTTAACATTAACTTATCAACCAATAATAGAGGGTCACAGCCAGGCACCAGTGGCTCACACCTATAATCCTAGCTACTCAGGAGGCTAAGATCTGAGGATCGCAGTTCAAAGCCAGCCTGGGTAGGAAGGTCCGTGAGACTTTTTTTTTTTGGTCCAGTCATGGGGCCTAAACTCTGGGCCTGTGCGCTGTCCCTCAGCTCTTCAGCTCAAGGCTAGCATTCTACCACTTGAGCTACAGCACCACTTCTGGCTTTTTTCTTTTTTGCTTATGTGGTCCTGAGGAAACCCAGGGCCTCATGCATGCAAGGCAAGTGCTCTACCACTGAGCCACCTTCCCAGCCCGGTCCGTGAGACTTTTATCTCCAACAATCCACCAGAAAACTGGAAGTGGCGCTGTAGCTCAAGTGGTAGAACGCTAGCCTTGAGCTAAACTGCTGAAAGACAGTGTCTAGGCCCAGAGTTCAAGCTCCAAAACTGAGAGAGAGAGAGAGAGAAAGAGAGAGTCACAATGAAATACTGGGAGTATGTATACATCTCAAAAGGTATCATATAAACAATAGTGGAGGGCTGCTAAGGTAAAAGTAAAGCAAAATATAATTTAAGAAATAAGAATAATAGCTGCTAATTTGAGTTTGTAATCCTAGTTGCTCAAAATACTGAGATCTGAGGATTATGGTTCAAAGCTAATCTGGGCTTTATCTCCAACTGACCAGAAAAAGTCTGAGCCCCAGTTTTGAGCCAAAAAAGCCAAGTAAGATCTAGAACACGTGAATTCTAGCCCTGGTATTGGCATACACACACACACACACACACACACACACACACACACACACACACACAAGTATTGCAGGAAATAACAAAAATGAAGAATAAAGGAAAACTCTTGGAGATAATCACAAATAACAAATATATTTCTTTTTTTTTAAAGGTAATTGACTTTGTTTGACTTACACTTTTGCTTTTTCCTTTTTGAGGTCACCTTTATAAGGTGAATGTACCAATTATGGTGACCCAGACTTCAGGAAGAACAGGCGTTGTCCAGCCTCCTGTCCAGCAAGTGTTTCAGCAACTGGGGCAGCCTTCCATCATACAGACCAGTATCCCACGGCCAAATCCATGTTCTATCCAAGCCACTCCTGACAAGCAACAGAGAGTGGAAACTGTGCTGCATCAACCCACAATTCTCCATTCTGTTCCTATAGATAGGAAACAACTAGAAACCACCACCAGCAGTCTCCTTGTATCTCCTGGCAATGAGCATAAAGTCAGGTCTGAAGCTTTTCTGAGTCAGCAGGAAAGCTCCCAGTATATGGGTCTTCGAGGTCCTGGATTTCCTTCGCAAGTGTCTCAAACAGATTCTAAGGTGGAGCCAGTACTCAGAGTGTCAGCTAACATGACACAAAACCTACATGGCGGGCTCTCCCTGGGCCCCCCTGGGGCTCCCTGCCACTATGTGACTGACGCCAGGCTTTATGGTATTAACAGTAGGATGTATGGATGCGACTCTATAACACAGCCAAGAAAAGTAGAGGCGGCCGGCGGCTTACCTGTATCGGAGAAGGTACGTTCAATTTCTTGGTGCTAAGGGACACATAAGAGCCGATGATTAGGCTTCCTAAGGTTTTCCCACTTGGAAGAATTCAATTGTTCCTGGAAACTTGTTCAAAGTGTTTTTAGCAAGTCTGTGTTTCTTTTGATATAAAGAACTAAGATTTAAATGTATGTGTGTGTGTTCCAGTGTATTTCCCCCCCATAGTTTTCACATAATATATATCATTTAGGAAAGAGGTTAAACTAATAATTATGCATTATGTGGTTTTGAGGTAAAAATAGCTACAAGTTTAAACAGTGTTTTGATCACTTAGCCATTTTGGAGGTGTTTTTCTCCTAGAGTTGGAATGAACTTTTCAGAGTTTTGGTGTGATAAGCGAAGGATTTACTCTCCAGTTACTCTCTGGGTGTCCTTACGTGCTTATTCAGCTGTGCATAAGTAGATTAGTTAAACGGTATTAATCAAGGATTGTTAGAGATAGGGGTTGCTTTGTAGCCACAATAGGCCCAAATCTGAGCTTTCCTAGCTATAAGCAAATGATGTAATGCTACTTTCTGCAATTCAGTTCTTGTCTGTAACGTAGACGTAATACAAGCATCCTAGGTTTTAGAATTATCAGAGATGATGTGTGTGTGTGGAGGATTTAGCTCTGGTACCATGGTTTACTATTAGTGCTATTATGCCTTTCCCTTGTTATATATTGGGTAACTTTTATATGAGTTCTTTAAAAATTAATTTTATAAAATCTGTCTGAATCCCAACACAAAACTAAACACATATATCATATAAAACATCTCCTTATTTATTTATTTTAAGTTACCTTTAAATAGTCATAGGGGAACTTTATGCTGGCCTGCTTTTGAAAAAAAATGTCTAAGTAGTCTTTCCTTTTTTATAAGTCGTTTAATGAAATTATGCTTTGCCTATACTTGCTTTTTTGTCTTGCAGTACCGACTCCAGATGTCCTAAGGGTCTGTGCAGGCTTAACATTCTCTCAGATATATTCCTGACAGCTTTTGATTCTGCTCTCACTAGCTTCTGTTTTGTGAACTGTCTGCAGAAATATGACTATTTTAGGGAGCTTATAAAGGAGTTATACATTTTTATCCTTTTGTGGCTGGCTTCTTTCAGTTAGCAGAATATCTTCATAGTTTTTCCATGTGGTTGACTGTATGATGACTTCACTCCTACTTTAGTCTGAATCATAGTTTTGATGCTTCTTAAAAACTTTTAAATACTTGTGGAATCTTTCCCTTTTTTGTTGTTGTTGTCAGTACTGGCATCACAAGGCAGTGCCTTGTGATCGGTAATCAACTGTTCTACCACTCAAGTTCTTTTCTGATTTAAGTTCTTATTTCAGCAAGAGTTTAGCACTTTTTGTCAGACCTGAATTCTCCTTCCTATGTTTCCCATACAGCTAGGATTACAGTGGGAACTACCATGCTTGATGTGTAGATTGAGTTGGTGGTCTTGCTAACTTTTCTACCTATGCTGGCCTCAACTCACAACACTCTTATCTCTGCCTCCAAAGTACCTGGGAGGATTGTAGGTGTGAGTTACCACACCATCCCATCTTTTCCCTCTCCACCATTCCTGCTGACACTGTCCTATTTGTAATGTGAGATACCATCACAGTGTCTTAATTAGTTCACCAACGTGTAGCCTCTATTATTCTCATTCCACTCCCCGCCCCCCTCCAGGCCAGCCATTTTAGATGGTAAGGCCCAGGCTTCAAGATCCGTTTGTTTTGAATTTCTTTCCTTGTGACTTGGGAAAGTTATTCAAAAAGTAACTCCCCAAAGTAAACTTTACTTCATGGAAATAAAGGCAGCAGTATCCAGCAGGGAGTTACAGTTGTGGGAGTTAAGACAGGAAGTGCTAGTGCCATGCTACCTGGCTCGTGGGATTAGCTGATAACTGCTTCCAGAGTTCTGTCCTGCCTAACCCTTCTGCTAACACATCATTGCCTGCCCTTCAGAAGTCAAGTTCAGACTCCTTACTAAGGGCATGACAAGATCTACATCCTTTCCTCAACTCCTTTCTTTGCTTATTATTGTCTCTGTTTGAAACTAGGAACGTAGGTGGTCTTCCTGCCATGCTTTCCTCTAATTTTGTTTTGTTTTGTTTTTGTTGTTGTTGGTTGTGGGGCTTGAACTCTGGCCCTGGGTGCTATCCCTGAGCTCTTCCTCTAAAGGTGAGTGCTCTACCACTTGAGCCACAATGCCACTTCTGGTGGTTAATTGGAGATAAGAGTCTCACGGACTTTCCTGCCCAGGTTGGCTTTGAACTTCAGTCCTCAGATCTTAGCTTCCTGAGTAGCTAGGATTACAGGTGTGAGCCACTGGTGCCTGACTCCTGGTTAGTTTTTATTTATCCATTTATTATCTCTTCCACACAATGGCAGTACTCCTTTACCTAGCTTTCTTTTATTGTTAGACTGACTGCAGTTCTTCTCTGTTGGTTGTCATGCAGTAAAGTTTCATTAAAATTGTTTATCTGCATTAAGAGGTACATTCTATTCATATGTGCATACCTAGAACCTAAAAATGTGCAAATATATGTGTGTGCTTGCACAACATACTAGAGCATAAGCTTTTAGAGAGTAAGAATCTATGATTGATATTTTTTGTTTTATTTTGGCTCAGTTTCTCAAACCTGGCTGAATATTGCAATCATTACAGGGGCACTAAAACTCTCCAGCATACATTCCAAGGGGTTTAGATCTACTTGGTCTAAGTGGGAATCTGGTCATCATTACGAGTTTCTGGGGGTGATTTTATCATGTAGTCAAGGTCATATAGTTCAAAGTCAATATGTGAACAGGAAATGGATGGAGTAATGGGATAAAAGTCAGTTTTGATTTTTTCTTCTAAATCTAAGCTAAAAGATAAAAATGTCCTATCAATAGTTACTTGAATTCAAAATTTGGATTAAGAAAATACCTAGAAGATCCATAAAGCACATCTCTCAGTGTATCTGTCAGGGTGTTTTCAGAATCAGGAAGGAAAGAAGACTTACCATGAAGGTGGGATGAATCTTCCAATAACCTGAGGCCCAGGCCAAATAAAAGGGGAAGGAGAAATCCCACTGGCACAGGCATACTCCGTTTGCTTTCAGGCTTCCAGGAGGTGAGCAGCCTCCTCTATAGTGTGCTCCAACCACCCTGACATTGTGCCTTGTCTCAGGCCCAAAGAAACGTATCCAGCCAACCGTGGATTGAAAATTCTGAAACCATTAGCCAAGTGAGTCTTTCCTCCCATATCTGACTTTCTTAGATACTGTGTCACAGTGGTAGAAAGTCTGACTAACACAGAAAACTGAAAGTAGAGAAGTGGGGATAGACTGACAAGGGGTAGGCGTGATGGTAATCCCTGCTTCCCTCTCTCCCTTTCTCTCTCCCTTTCTCTCTCTCTCTCTTCCTCCCTCCCTCTCTTCTTCCTCCTTTCCTCCCTCCCTCCCTCCCTCCCTCCCTCCCCCATTCTTCCTTCCTCCCTTCCTTCCTTCCTTTCGTCTTCTTTCTCTCTTTCTCTTTCTCTCCCTTCCCCTCCCCTTCCCAATACTTGGAGAATTAGGGCCTTATGTGTGATAGGCAGACTCCTACCAAGTTGAAAAGGGGAAAACCCCTAACAGCTTATATTTGTCTTATTTTTATTCTTAGCTTACTTGCGGTTGTGAAGCCCTACGAGTCCTTAACAGTCATTGCAAAACTATGATTCTTTCATTATAGGAAAACTAAAAGGGAGAAAATTTGGGAAGCTGGCAAGGTTGGTTCTGGCAAACAAAACTTTATCTCAAGCAATCCTATTTATTGCTTATTGGACTAACTAGCTGCTGAAGCTACATGTAGTTGAAGCATGACACTTGGCAAAGTGTAACAATCTTACCATTACTGCACTAGGTGTTTTTAGAGCAGGGAAATGAAATTGCAGCAGAGACCTCATCTGGATCAGAACTGTTCACACTTTTTCATATTCAGTTGGAATTCATCAAATCATCATCAGCGACTTCCCCTTAGCATTAAACAGAATAAAAATATCAGTGGCTTCTTAGGGTAGCTGACATGTGATTTTAATTTTTATTTGATATCACTGAAAAAATTCAAATTGAGGGTGCAAGCTGAAGACAGATTGTAATAATGAAAAGGGGTTTTTTTTTGGCTCCTGAGAAACTTGGTAAAATATAGTTTTGCTCCTTCAGGAGAGAAAGCATTTCTGTATGTCATGGTTAGTGTCATGGCTGGTACTGTGATAAGATACACCCAGTAATTGGCAAAGAAGTCTCATTGGCTGATGAAAACACCAAATACATTAGAATCAAGAGTTTATATTATTGTTATTTTAATGCATTTATTAAAATGCATTAAGACATAAATTTATTTTTTCATGCTAAATCATTTCAGCTTTCTGAAGGACTTGTTTGAAGCCCTTGCTTAGTGCTTTGGCTAATATTTGCTGTTTCTGAGAAGGAATAAAAGTCCCTCCTAACAATATGAACTGGAGGAGTTCGTTGATGATCTATGTGGGGGATGTTTGGCTGTATAAAAGATTTAGATCTTTCTACTCACAGTCCTGTGCTTCAATTTGAATGTTGAATGAGGTTGGCTATTTTGATCTACCTTAGAGGACATAGGTGTCAGTAATGATGTGCAATTCCCATTGCTTGCTGAAATGCTTCTGAGGAAAGCAGCTGAGAAAGAAAAACACGGTTAGTTATTGATATTAAAGATAGATATATAGTCATGTTCCTCTCCCAGACTAAGGATAACTTTACTAATTTAAAGACAATAAGGTTCCCTTCTGTCCACATCCCCTCCAGCATCTGTTGTTATTAGAGTTCTTGATTATAGCCATTCTAACTGGAGTGAGGTGGTATCTCAATGTT